AAACAAAGCGTGAAAAAGCAAACGAGATACTTGACAGTTTTCCATAGTCTTTGAGAATACCACCTTTTTAGACAATCTGTCTTAGCTGATCTTCACAAACTTGCAAATTGCTTTCGGTGACTAAAAACTAATGTGTGCACAACTGTGCCTGTGCACAGGGAAATAAATGGAGAGAAAGTTCCTCCCTGCTTTGCTGCTTTGCAGAATCTATTCAGACTCTGGGTGCCAACCCCGATGGGCAGGCGCACCGCACGCCTGTTAACTCTCTATGTCGAGTGTACAGCCAACAAGCAAACAAAGCCTTCCTTGCATGCCAACTCATGCACTGGCTAACATAGCTTTGTGTATTTGTAACAGGTCTGCAAGTGAAGTCTAGTGTCTGCTGAGGTCCGTTCAAAGCCTTTATTGGGATGAGGCCTACAGTGGGTCAGTGGTCCTGAAAGAAAGCCATAGGACATGTGTGCAGCAAGAAACAACTTGGGGCCTCCTAAACATCTCTTTGATTGCTCTACCCCTCCTGAAGCAACAACGTTGTTGTTTCCTTTTTCCATTCTAAAGCTGCAATCTAGCCCTCCAGTAGAGGCCCTAGCGTAGAATATGTCAGTAGAGATTTGCTGTATTCCAGGAATTATTGCCAAATATAGTAAAGTTCAGGTAAAACAGGCGTATTCTGCTACCTTTATTTGTTCATAAGAAGGAAAACTGGCACATTGCTTAGAGGAATGTAACTTCAGTAATTTAATAATTATTCAGGGTAAGATTCTGCCACACTTACTTAGAGACTCACTCTCTCTACAAGTAGCTGCCTAACATCAGTGAAATTACTGAAGTACTATGTGAAAGGGGACAGAATTGGGCCTTAATAACTTTAGAGTTCCATGTTTTTATTTTTTTTTCCTTTCATTTTAGGTCTATTTTCTTTATGATTTTGCATTTTTATTTAATATGTTTCTTAGTTTTAAAAAAGGTGCATTTCCTTAAACTCCCACTATTTCCCCTCATTTATTTTATAGACTTACTCCTCCTGTGATGCTCTGTAATAATTTACTTTGATTTCCCTCTGTGTTTTTATTTCTCCTCCTTTTTTTCCCTGAACGGTTGTGTTCTTTATAGTTTCTACTCTTTTGTGCCATCCTCACCTCTTCATTCCTCACCAGCCTGACCAGTGCTTGTTCTATTAAAGACAAAAATGATGGCTGCTTCAGGTGAAAGGACATTATGAAAGAAGCTCTGGCTAAGCAAGGACTGCAAGATTCATCTCTACTTTTCCTGACCCTTCTGTGTGATTTTTTCATATTGTCTCATCCTGTTTATGTTCTCTGTTCTCTTGTTTTCTCCTCTTCATTCAATTCTACATCATCATTTTTCCTTTTTCCTGTTTCATTTCCCTCTTTTCAGATGCGTCTTTTCCCTTACCTTTCCCACCGTATGTTCTCATGGAAATCACTGTTTTCCCCTCATGCTTGTGTCTCCGTGAAGTTCCTTTTGTCCTTCCAAATTTATTTTGCTGTCATCTGTTCCCATAAAATTGAAATGCCTCCCACAAATAGATTCTTCTTTCCCCTGAGCTCAAGTCCATTTCCCATTAACAGTGTCTCGTCCTGCTTCTTACCCAATTTACGCTCTGTTGGACTTCCTCTGCCAGCTACTTCTCCTTCTGTCCGACTGGGGAATGCATTACCTGTAACCCCTCCCGTGGCAGAACTCTGCACACCAGAAACTTGCTTTCTC